AGAGCAAAGTACTTGCTGAGAGGGAGCGGACTAGACTCACTCTTGCACTTGGACCTGATTTTCACCAAACACCTCTTTGATCCTGGGGGCAGGGAAGTGCTACTGGAATCTCCCTTCTGTAGGTACATCTACACTACAGCGGGGAGTCGATTTAAGATACGCAAATTCAGCTACATGAATAGCGTAGCTGAATTCGACGTATTGCAGCCGACTTACCCCGTTGTGAGGACGGCGGCAAAATCGACTTCTGCCGCTTTTTGTCGGCAGCGCTTACTACCACCTCCGCTGGTGGAGTTAGAGCGCCGATTCGGGGATCGATTGTCGCGTCCCGACGGGACACGATAAATCGATCCCCGAGAGGTCGATTTCTACCCGCCGATTCAGGCGGGTAGTATAGACCAGACCTTAGTGGAAGAGCAAACTACATGGTCAGAGGGAGCTGCCTAGTCTCCCTCTGGCACTTGGTCCTGTTTTTCACCAAACACCTCTTTGATCCTGGGGGCAGGGAAGTGCTACTGGAATCTCCCTTCTGTAGGTACATCTACACTGCAAAGAATAACCCATGGCACCAAGCTCAGAGCCTGGGTCAACTGACTTGGGCTTGCAGGACTCACGCTTCAGAGTAAAAATAGCAGGGTAGACAGAGGCCAGGCTCTGAAACCCAGCAATGGGGGAGGGTCTCAAACCCAGGCTTCAGCCTGAGCCCAAATGTCTACACTGTATTTTTTTTTAGCCCTGATCACAAGTCAACTGACCCAGGTACCACAGGTTTTTCTTTGCAGTGCGTAGACATACCCTCAGTTTGCTCCTGTGCACAGATGAGGCTCTCATTTCTATGCCAATGAGACTCTTCCAAATAACAAAGCCAGTGAATTGCTCGAGACTAGATTCACAGCTGGGGTGTGAATTTACTGTATTTAAGTCTCCCCGCCCCCATCCTAACAGGGTGTAATCTTTTTATTCTTTCTTCCTTTGATGTAATAAGAAATAACATCTGAGGAATGAGAAGGGAAGCAGTTGCTAGCAGGATGCAACAGAATTATAACTCTGCTTCTGATGTTTTCGTTTCCTGTTACAAAATTTTATTTTGTAGCCATTATAACTGGTCCAGAGCTGGGAGCACTTTCATAAAAAGTAAAACATTTATCAATACAATACAACAGACTGCCCAGATAGCTCTAAATGTTACCCACAAACCACCACCACCATATGGCAATTGCATAACAAAAATGAAGTAAGGGATTCACATCTGAAGTGGGTCTAGTGAGATGTATTTTATATGATCGATTCTCTCTATATTAGGCCACAATATGACAGCATTCATTACTCCTCCCTTTATGCTTTTAAACAGTATGTCTGGTGACTAGCTTAAATAGCCTAAACTATTAATGCAGAAACTTTACTTTGGTAACCACTATTTATGTCCCAGGTTAGCAACTAACTCCATCCTTTGCTAAGGTATATGAAATAATAAATGTGGATCTGAGTAATATTTAATACATCATCACCTGCAGATGGGGAAAAGATATTTCAGGCGCAGGAACTAAGGTAGACGACATCCCACTGACTGGATTGAGCGATGGGATGTTAGGAACCAGAATTAAACTCCGGAATTCATTGTGTCTGCGCTGTAAATCCTTTAGTCTTTTCTGAAGGCGAGTGTATTCTTCATAGGGAACATTCTGTCTATGAAATAAGATGTTTGTATTGCTCAAAATGCTTAAGAGTACCATATCACAGAAACATGTCTCTCTCTAACACGTTGCTAAACACTCTCCCAATAAAGTGCTGCTTCAGGATGGACATGTATAGCCCATATAGAATAAGGAGAAGCACTTCATTTGTGTTTAAATGTTTGGGAAGTCCATTTTACACCTCAAATGATATAAACTACAGTCTCACAGACTAGAATTTACTCAACAGCAGGGAAATAAATTCAGATTTTAATGTAATGTTCACAGTAGTGAGTAGCACTATAGTTAAGACTGCTTTTTAAAGTATTTAAATCAAAGATGAGTCAGACCCTCCATATGATCTAAAGGCACTGGAAGAACCAGGAACTGCCATATCTTGCCAAGAAGATTTTAGTCTGGTTCCCTTACATCCTTCTGGGTTATTTTTCCTTTTCTTTACTTCCGCTTACTGCTAGTCTCACACACTGTACCCTGCTATCTGTTTTAACCTTCTCTCAGCACTGTTCTTCCCAGTCTAACAACCCTCCTCCTCAAGAGATTCCTGGTGCAGTCATACTATCTTTTTCTCCTCTTTCCCCAAATGTCCAAAATATGATTGCGATGGAACCTTCTGATGCGAGCCTCCTGCTGCCTTCTGCTCAGTCTGACTAGCATAAGAAAAATGAACATCACTGTGTATACACCCTATTTCTGTTAACTGACTAGCACATTTAACTACAGGATGAAAGTCAGCCTCTCTTGGCAGTTTATTTGTAAATGTCACTGAGCAGGACAAGGAACATACTTTGCCTTCTTGGCCCACTGGCTTGATATAATCATCCTCTTGTTCCACTCAGGCAGTTGCTCCCTACTCTACACATCAAGAAGAGAGTACATAGCTAATGGTGTATCTCCTCTCTGTGAAGTGTAGTACAGGGCATAGCTGCAGCTCAGTGAAATTTACAAGGAAAGCAGAGCTTAATTTGTGCTGGGGCTCAACCGCTGCTCTTCTTTTCATGCTGAGGGGCAGTGCCGGCACTTCTGTCAGTGGTGCACGAGATCATGCTGTGCGAGGGATGCCATCGTTATTGCTTAAGCCCCGGCACCTTTTTTTCACAAATTCAGCACTGATGGAAAGATGGGAGATCAGTGTTTCATTTCCAAACCTGATTGGATGGACGTGTCAGGCAGTTGATACCCAAGGATTTGTTTAAGTGAAAGCCAGATCAGCTGTTTGTCCTTGTGGGAAGGATCTACAACAAACTTTTATCAGAATTCATTACACTTTTAAAAACATAACTTGGATGTCTACAAACCAAATTAAGGCAACCATATTTCCTGTTGGACTCCACAGTTGCAATTTAGTTTGCCCTTAAAGTCACCTTAGAAAACTTATTTCTAGCCTGTTGTATGGTGCACCTGCCATTTTAGGCTGAGCTTAAGCTTCTTCACTTTCATGTGCAGTAAATCCATTCAGAAGGAAAATATCTCACATTTAAGCCACTGTATTTTCAATAGATTTGGAATACTGGAACATGTAATTGTCTTGTAGTATTAATTCAACTTTTCATTGACATTCTAACAATCTGCTACAGCCAGGTTTTAAACTGCTAAAGCCACAACAAGGAAATAACTTATTTGCATGGGGGTATTTAACAAGAAGATTTTGTATGTTAATTCTGAAGAGTATGGTGGCCTCCTAGTACAAAAATAGCTCCAACAGCCCTGATCCTGCAACAGCACACTGACTTCAATGGGTCTCCGTGCAGGAGCAGAGGTCTTCCCACAAGAATGCAGTTGGATTGGGCCCCAGTGACTAACCTGTAAGTTACACACATCTGAAGTATTTTGTAATGGTAAATCAAATCATTTAGGAGATTCATTTACAGAATTATTACATTAATCTAGAAGCAAAATACCTCGAAACAACTTGTTTACAATTCTAAGGACCAATTCAAACAAAATCTAATATTTTATTACCTATTTAACACCTGGTTTTCAGTTTCTAGTTCTTCTCTCTTTGCTTCCAAGAGTTCGATTTTCTCCTGCAGTCTTTTTTGTTTATTGTCATTGAGAGCCTTTCTCTGTCAAACACACACATTTTGAACACTTAGAAGTTGTGTCAACTGTTTTGATCATTTTGATCAAGTTGCATCTACTTTGCACCTGCATTTCAGTTACAAGATTACATAATTTTTAGCATTTCCTTATGAAGAGATATAATTTTGTTGAAAATGGTGGAAAGAAAACGTAAGCATACATTTGCTTTCCATCCTTTATTTGATTTGGAAAAGTAATGTACCAAAAAAGAGGCTTGGAATCCCCAAATGCCCGGTGTTGAAGGAAACATGCCATAAAGGAAGGTAAAGCAGCAACACACAAAGTATCCAGTTGTATGGGTAGGTTATAGACAATTCTAAACCACCTGTTGGGAAATTGAAACAGCTACTAAGTCTTGTAAGACAATGACAAATTGATAGGCAAATTAGATAAGCTCACCATGTACTGATTGTTTAGAAATATAAATAATACCTTAGAAACTGTAGATTTTATTTCCTCTCTGACATCACTTGCTGATGGCGACATCAATGTTAAACAACTAACATCCGTTTTCTGTTTTATAAAGTAGATACAGGCATCCTCTATTATGTATTTATGGTGCTTAAAATTACTAACTAATCCTGAGCTTTATTAAGGTCTAAAACATATGGACTTGGAAAAATTAATAACTAATTTCTCCTTTTGTGCTAGCTGTTCCATAACATGCAATTTTAGGGGGAAACAAAAATTCAAAATTCAATATTTCCATTAACAGTATTACCAGCCGCTGGGCGTGTAACAGATAGTTGCTTGGGGAGGAACAATGTACCAAATAGATGTTACTAAAAAGGGAAATGTCATCCTACTGGTATCTAACACAGCATCCTACTGGTTAATTCTTGGTCCATCTCCAAGCTCACCAATAACAAAAAAAAATTTAATTGAACAATATGGCTGGCTCCTATAAGGCATATTACAACTACTGTAATCTCAAATACATGAATTTATGCCTATCTTAAAACACCCGATATATTTTGCTATTATATATATAATTACAAAATAATAAAATGGGTGAACTAGAGTGCCTTGTATTAAATGAGAATATTGATATAATAGGCATCACAGAAACTTGGTGGAATGAGGATAATCAATGGGACACAGTAATACCAGGGTAAAAATATATCGGAAGGACAGAACAGGTTGTGCTGGTAGGGGAGTGGCATTATATGCGAAATCAAACGAAGTAAAAATCTTAAATGAACCAAACTGTACCATAGAATCTCTATGGATAGAAATTCCATGCTCTAATAATAAGAATATAGCAGTAGGGATATATTACCGACCACCTGATCAGGATGGTGATAGTGACTGAAATGCTCAGGGAGATTAGAGAGGATATTAAACTAAAAAACTCAATAATAATAATAATAATGCGGGATTTCAATTATCCCCATATTGACCGGGTACATGTCACCTCAGGATGGGATGCAGAGATAAAAGTTTCTTGACACCTTAAATTAATCCTTCTTAGAGCAGCTGGTCCTGGAACCCACAAGAGAAGAGGCAATTCTTGATTTAGTCCTAAGTGGAGCACAGAATCTGGTCCAAGAGGTGAATATAGCTGGACCGTTTGGTAATAGTGACCATAATATAATGAAATTTAATATCCCTGTGGCAGGAAAAACACCACAGCGACCCAGCACTGTAGCATTTAATTTCAGAAAGGGGAACTACACAAAAATGAGGAGGTTAGTTAAACAGAAATTAAAGGGTACAGCGCCTAAAGTGAAATCTCTGCAAGCTGCGTGGAAACTTTTTAAAGACAACATAATAGAGGCTCAACTTAAATCTATACCCAATTTAAAAAACATTGTAAGAGAACCAAAAAACAGCCACCGTGGTTAAACAACCAAGTAAAAGAAGCAGTGAGAGAGAAAAGGCCTCCTTTAAAAAGTGGTAGTTAAATCCTAGTGAGGAAAATAGAAAGGTGCATAAACACTGGCAAATGAAGTGTAAAAATACAATTAGGAAGGCCAAAAAAGAATCAAAAAGTAATAGCAATTTTTTTTTTAAGTACATCAGAAGCAGGAAGCCTGCTAAACAACCAGTAGGGCCACTGGACAATCGAGGTTCAAAGGAGCACTCAAGGATGACAAGGCCATTGAAGAGAAACTAAATGAATTCTTCAGTCTTCACGGCTGAGTATGTGAGGGAGATTCCAAAACCTGAGCCATTCTTTTTAGGTGACAGATCTGAGGAACTGTCCCAGATTGAGGTATCACTAGAGAAGGTTTTGGAACAAATTGATAAATTAAACAGCAATAAGTCACCAGGACCAGATGGTATTCACCCAAGAGTTCTGAAGGAACTTAAATGTGAAACTGTAGAACTACTAACTCTAATTTGTAATCTATTATTTAAATCAGCTTCTGTACCAGATGACTGGAAGATAGCTAATTTGACACCAATTTTTAAAAAGGGCTCCAGAGGTGATCCCGGCAATTACAGGCCTGTAAGCCTGACTACAGTACCGGGCAAACTGGTTGAAACTATAATAAAGAACAATATTGTCAGATATATAGATGAACATAATTTGTTGAGGAAGGGTCAGCATGGTTTTAGTAAAGGGAAATCATGCCTCACCAATCTACTAGAATTCTTTGAGGGGGTCAACAAGCATGTGGACCAAGGGGACCCAGTGGATATAGTGTACTTAGATCTTCAAAAAGCCTTTGACAAGGTCCCTCACCAAAGGCTCTTACGCAAAGAAAGCTGCCACGGGATAAGAGGGAAGGTGCTCTCATGGACTGGTAACTGGTTAAAAGATAGGAAACAAAGGGTAGGTATAAATGGTCAGTTTTCAGAATGGAGAGAGGTAAATAGTAGTGTCCCTCAGGAGTCTGTTCTGGGACCAGTCCTATTCAACATATTCATAAATGATCTGGAAAAAGGGGTAAACAGTAAGGTGACAAAATTTGCAGATACAAAATTACTAAAAATACTTAAGACCCAGGCAGACTCCAAAGAGCTACAAAAGCTCTTAAAACTGGGTGACTGGGCAACAAAATGGCAGATGAAATTCAATGTTGATAAATGCAAAATAATGCACATTGGAAAGCATAATCCCAACTATACATATAAAATGATGGGGTCTAAATTAGCTGTTACCACTCAAGAAAGAGATCTTGGAGTCATCAATGATCTGGAGGATGGCATGGATTGCACCCTCAACAAGTTTGCAGATGACACTACACTGGGAGGAGTGGTAGATACACTGGAGGGTAGGGATACAGAGGGACCTAGAAAAATTAGAGGATTGGGCCAAAAGAAATCTGATGAGGTTCAACAAGGACAAGTGCAGAGTCCTCCACTTAGGACAGAAGAATCCCATGCACTGCTACAGACTAGGGACCGAGTGGCTAGGCAGCAGTTCTGCAGAAAAGGACCTAGGGGTTACAGTGGACAAGAAGCTATATAAGTCAACAGTGTGCCCTTGTTGCCAAGAAGGCTAACAGCATAGAGGGACGTGATCGTTCTCCTCTCTTTGGCATTGGTGAGGCCTCATCTGGAGTAGTGTGTCCAGGTTTGGGCCCCACACTACAAGAAGGATATGGAAAAATTGGAAAGAATCCAGCGGAGGGCAAAAAAAAAATGATTAGGGGGCTGGAGTACATGACTTATGAGGAGCGGCTGAGGGAACTGGGATTATTTAGTCTGCAGAAGAGAAGAATGAGGGGGGATTTGATAGCTGCTTTCAACTACCTGAAAGGGGGTTCCAAGGAGACTGGTTCTAGATTATTCTCAGGGATAGCAGATGACAGAACAAGGAGTAATGGTCTCAAGTTGCAGTGGGGAAGGTTTAGGTTGGATATTAGGAAAAACTTGAAGAAAAAGACAGGGATAAAATAAGAAGGCTAACTATTCTAACTGAAAACTAAAACTAAGGGAAAACTAAGCTATT